TCTCTCTCTCTCTCTCTCTCTCTCCTATAACGTTCTGCACATACTACATTTATATAATAACGGCTGTGAAGGGTTTGTGTATTTTCTAGCCAGTATTCTCAGACCATTTCTGCAGAGCCAGCCTATTAGATCCAGACTTCCCTCTTGACTATATACATAACATGTACTAAAAAAGTATTTTTTTGTATTGTGGTCCTTTTTATTACAAAGTATAACTGCTCTGTACTGGGCCACTTCTAGAATAGAGGAAGATACAAATATTTGATGTAGCGATATCAGGGGATCTGTGTCTAATAGAAACGATGTATTTTCAGTTGGTTCTTCCACTTAATTACTTTGTAAGGAAACTGCCCTCCTTTTCATTCGAGATCCTTTCCCAGCAATCAGCAGGCTGATCTGCTCCTATTACCCATTGCAGAAAGTACCGAACAGGACATTGAGTCCGAGGGGGAATCCTATTCATTATTCTCAATATTGCATCGCATGTCATATGTTTTCAACTCCGGGAGGAATTAATACACGTTTTCCAAGCTACATCTTTCTAAAGTAATAATACATCCATGTAAACATTACATTTAATTACTTAGGCATACAGAAAAGCAGTTATGTTCAGCAACCTTTTATCAGTTCAATGACAAGGTAGTAGGATTTAGCTATGAGGCCCTGCAGTTCCACAATGCCTCTCTGATAAAGCTATTTTTTTTTTGGTAACATATTGATATCAATAATAAATATAATTTGGGTTTTCCAAGAGCCCTTTGTGTTTTGTTAAAATCATGTATTATTATTTCAACTAATTTTTTTATTTATACAACAAAACTCAACTGCAGTGAAATTCCAAAAAGTATGAACTTTCAAAAAAAAAAAAAATATTTGCCTTTAATTATTCTATAATAATGCAATTTACTGACCACAGAACATGCATTATTATTGAGATGTATTATGGATTTCTATTCTCAACAAGCACTTAAAAAAAGGGTTTGGAAAAAAAATAGGTATTCACCGCAGTTATACTACAGCAATATTCCTCCTAGACTTCCTAGTCCAACGCAGATAAATACAATTGTTATAGATCATCAGTCAGACCCATAAGGACTTACTTTATATGCACTCAATTTCCACCAAACCAAAACTAATTGCATGCATACCTCTAGGCCACTCAGGGATCTGATCAATTAGTCATTAAGCACTCCATTAGAGGGGTTTTAAGCTTGCTAGTATAAATGTCCTCTGTCAATTTGCTTGTAATTGAGTGAATCAAAAAAGATCTAGCTATTAGCACATGGAGCATTAATGATGTATACCAAGTTTTATTAGGCACAATATTAATCTATTACAAGGTGTACATGTATTTCTGAGTCCCCCTGCTATCATTAGGAGACAACACAAGTCACTTTATGAGGATGGATATCTTATGGCTGGATGTAAGCATGATGTACAGGTTTAATTTGGGTGATGAGAAATATCAGAGTATTAAAGGACCACTATCAATATTTCTATATAGAAATAACAGTAGTATTCATAGAGTTTAGTATTTTAATACCATGTTTTTTATTTTATGTACTGTTATTTCACTTTTATGTACGGTTATTTCAGACCAAGCTGACAAGCATCAGTGGCAGGGGTTTCAACAAACTACACTGTCAGGGGCTATTGGGTTGGTGCAGCAACAGGTTTGTGTTTTTATAGAAGGTTTCAGCCATTTGTATAAAGCTGACCCCTGGTGGTGTTATAGTTTGCACCAACCCTTGTCACTGTCAGTTTTGCTGGTCAGCTTGGTCTGCATGAAAATATATAAAAAATATAAAAACTTTTTATGACTTAAAGTAATAAAAAGAGTAATTCACATAAAAAGAATTAAAAAAAACAAAACTGTTGATGCATTTTTGGCCAAAAACAGTTAGCAGAATGCAATATTTATGGTGACAGTGGTCCTAGATTAAATCATCAGACAGATTTTTTAGTGATTTGCCATAACGGGTCACTTTAAAATATGCTATTCCCACAAACATAGCTTTAGCGGCTGCAAAGCTTTGTGCTATTCGTATACTGCAATAATGGCTCATTTTGTAAAGTGCTACACAAACTGTTGGTGCTATATCAATTCTGTAAAATAACAATAATAATCATTTTCATGCAACAAACTATAGTTTTTATTTTTGCATCCCTGCAGGCTTACACAGCAAGAAAATGCATTAG